TAGGCGGTAGACACTCTACCACCGCTTGGGTAGCTATGGGACTACGTGTTAAGTATATAGGGGGTACAGCGCAACCGCGTGTAATTCCGTCAGGTTAATGATGAAAAGCTCTTACAATTCTCCTATCAGTTCAGGAATAGAGTACACAGGTAACACGTCATTGAACAACTTTTTGGAGTATACTTTTCGCGCATCTTCCGACACTATGGGTGCGTATCACGCACATGAACGTACGACCTCAAACAAAGCGGTTATCATTGATGCTTCGATTTTTCACTTTTTTTTTTTTTCTTATTCACGTGTAGAAACTTAAGGAAAACGATAAAGCTATCAAAAACTAATGCAACGCAACAGTAAAAACACACTGCTACAGAATTTAACCAAGTTTAAGTAAAATGTAAAAAAATACACAAACCAAGAAAAAACGGTGTAGCGAGCAAAAAAACTAATGTAACGCAACAGTTGAAACACACTGTTACAGACTTTAAACAAGTTTAAGAAAATTTAAAAATTCACTGTATTAATCTTTTAAGTAAATTGAAAATGGAAAAGATTTTGAACGAGATATAACACGTAAAGTTATTGCAGCGTATCAGCAAGAAAATATGATTTGGCTGAGAGTGTCAGATAAAGACTGATTTTCTTCTGAGTTTTCCTCTTTTCCTTACCTGTTTCTGTACTTCCCCCCTTTCGTCTAAAATTTTGGCCAATGTATGATAAAAGTAAACGGTATATATACAGGCAAATTACTCTACTCTTGTCACTGCATGGAAAATTCTTTAGGAAGAGTATGCCGTGAAATATTACTACTGAGGAACATCACGCATTTCAACTGCTATTTTTTATAGTTCTTCATGTTTTGAAAAAGATCAAAAATATTGTAGCTGAGGGACAATAAAGAAATTGCAGCTAAGGAACGATTGCATTTTTCCCAACTGTCGTCACTTACTCTTCTTCATATTTTGAAAAAAATGTAGGAAAAACCCTACATTTGATCAGGAATACTTCTTGGATGACTAAAAGAAAGACAAAATATAGGTTTGAGCTCGCGTTCAAGCATGTTTTAGCAAGTTTTGTCGTAGCATTGTACGTGATAAAAATAAATGGTAAGCTATCCATAGGACATCTATATGATTCATGTACCGACAAAAATTTGAGAGGGGAGTATAGCAAAATTGAAAATTTTACCATTAGGGTATTATTTCTTCATGAGACTGCCAGTCACCCTCACAGCATGGATAATGACAAACGTATAGATAACGTTTACCTTGCTTGCAAGAGCTTTTTTCTTTAAATTTTTAAATGAAGTATTGTTTGATTCAAATTTACTGCGACACATCGATTTGCAAAATGGATCTATTCATACAGAAACAAAAAGATTTTTTTACGCGTGAAAGTGATAAACTAGGATCTGATTTTGTTGAAAATACAACAGGCAGTGAAAGCGCTTTCATATCAACTACAAAAGTATTGTTCTATACGTATCCACTCAACAAGATGGCTACGAAAAAAATCGTTGTGGGGCTTCAATACAATACGCATCTTCAGTGTTTTAACCTTTCCTTGTAGTTTTCCAAGTGTCAGTTTACAGGAGGTGTAATTATAAATGCGCATGCATGGAGCGAACTTCATCGATCATTTTGCTTCTATAAATGATTACTTTAATGATAAAAACATCAGTTAAATGGAAAGCATGCAAGTGGGTAATATTGACTTGATATTTGCATTATCTTACGGAATGAAATCAGTAATCTTTGATAAAAACGAAATAAGTGACGGAGAAGAAGGTGGTAGGTAAAAAAAGAAAACGTGCGGTTTAACAATTGTTATGCAACACCGCACCTTTTTGGGACTCACTCAAGCTGTCATACGCGTGGATGAAAAACTTTGACACATCAAACGCACAGCAACGTTAGTCAATAAATGTAAGACTTTTTAGTGGATGAGTTAACTGTTTTATGTAAAAATATATATGGCTCTAGTAAATAAAATCAATGTGTTGTTCTTAGAAAAGCTGTTGAGAAACACTTCTCATAGCTGCGAAAAAATATCATAGGAAATCTTTACTCTACAATCGATAATTTCTTCTTAGAAAATAATTTTTGTATAGGTTTTTTAGAATTAACTACGTTCTGCTTAGAGACTTTTTGAATGATAAAAATTTTAAATTAAATAGATTTAATAATGCGGTATAAGATTGAAATATTTTGTATGCAGGCTTAAAACTTTATATTCATTATTGTGTTGTGAGTTTGTTATACAATATCTGTATGAAATATAATTAAAATTTTTTTTATTTTTAAAAAACCCCACCCATCACCTGCTTTTGCTACCTTCATAACACTTTTACATTATTACTGATGGAGCAGAGTCGGTACTTGGACCACCCTCCTAAATTTTCTTTGTCCAAAAAAAAAAAAATTTTGTTTTTACCGACTTGGTAGTGTCGGTAATCGAATTCAAATTTTGCGTGAAATCTGTCGACATTATTAAAAAATTTTTGGGGTTATTGATTTGAATTCTCTGCCGCTTTGGTCACTTGACGTCTATCCAAAATAAGACCTCTGCTGGTCATGCCTCTAGGGCCAGCCGTATGACATATATCTATGAAGCTGTCTGGCAAAATAGTACCCTTACTACTGTTGTTGTCGTCGTTGGATATAAGCTGCTTAGAACTAAAAAACAGGTTATAGTTCCACCACTGCTTATTATCCAAAAAAAATTGAAAATATGTTTCGGTGCAAATATGACATGATGTTACCACTCATCAGTCGTTACAACAAACTCATTTAGAAGCTTTTATTTTATGGAGGAAAGTTTTAACAGTTAATTTTTTTTTTTTTTTTTTACTGGGTTACCACGACAGCCTACTGGCCTAGTCACCGGGGCCACCCACTCACCACCTACGTGTGAGGGTGTATTGCCAACACCCATTTCCAACCATTTTTTACTAATATCATACCTAAATCCATGGGCACAGTGTGAGTATCTCTGGTGGAACACCTTGCCAGTTAAGCTGACACTGCACCAATGGTGCATCGGGTCCACTCGCCACTGTGTAGCCTTTCCGTGGAGAGGACTCCATATTCCAGAACGTCCACTCCTCGCCGGTTAAGCCGGCACTCTCTGCCAAAGCATCGGATCCAGGCTAATTAGCATCCCCGAAGAAGCCCCATGTTTCAGGGGCCACTCCTCGCCGGTAAGGCCGGCGATCCCTGCCTGGCATCGGGCCCACTAATTCCTACCTATTAGGCCCTAACACTGTTTCACATTCACCCAGGCCCGAAAACCTGTGGAGTAAGGAAAAAAACCCTGGAATTACTCTGAAGGAAAATTCCACGGAAGAACCCGCCCCGAAACAGCCGGGGTTACATAGGAACTTTTATCGATGAAAACAGTTTTTGAAAAAGATCTGCATTCACCAGGAATCGAACCCACGACCCCTATAACCGCGTTTTATCAGTAACAAGCACGCTTACCACTGAGCCAACGCCGCTCCTATTTTAACAGTTAATTTAGTTGTATAATAATTTATTTGGTTTCGCAGCATTTGATGCAAATGTATTGCAAAAAATTTATGATTAAAAATAACAAGTTAAAGTTTGTCTTATTAATTTGGGTCCAAATAATTGTCATGAAATTTTCATTGCGTAACAAACAACTTATCATTGGAATCATATGAATATACAGTTTCTGTTAGAGACTTTGAGAAAAGTTTATTTTCAATGGTAAATATTAATGGTTGTTTTCTTCTTGTTAAAACGCTTCTCTGCCTGTAAAAAAACCTGTCTCTTACTTTTCTACATTCTTCAAGATATTACAGTTTCATGAAAATTACAGGCGGGCATCACTTTTTCAGGGTTTCTTGTCAGACCATCAATTTTTTTCTTCATGTCACGTTAGCAATTTTATTTCAAGAATTACACATGTATGAGTAGATATTACACTTTTATTGGATTTCAAAGTTAATTATTAGAGTTTTTCTCATTTTAATGATGTAAAAGAAGAAATTTATGATCCAAAGTGGTTTTTCTAGAACTGTAAAAGTCTCAAAAATGACTCGATGATCTTAATTTTATTGCTGCTTTTACAGTAAAATCTCGAGAAAATATCTGTTGTTCCATGTATGTTCTGAAAAGCCACACACTTTAAAGTAAGCATTACATAAAGCTAGCTTTAAATGTCTTGCCGTATGGTAATAAAAAAAAACAATAAATAAATAAAATGCCAACGATTGTATTTTCATACAAAAGTACTATTTCATATTAACTTTTCGAAAATCCATGTAAAAACTATTTCCTTAAAAAAAGATGATTAAATATTTACGTAAGCTAGAAATCCAAATTTTTGTGAATTATAAAAATGACAGTTCAAAGTTAATTTCATCGAAATGATTGACGTGATTCATGCAAGCCAATGACATTTAGTTATTTTATTAAAAAAGCTTTATTGGGTGGTCTATTAATTTTCATAATGTATTTATGTTACTACAAATTTTTTATATCGGTATTGCTATTTAATTACATATGTTTCATAAGGACATATTTATTATTTAAATATTAACATTGTTAGCAATAACACGCACGTTTGTTGAAATTTTATTGATAGTTTGCAATATCCATCATAAAATGGCATTTATTAAAATCCTAAAAACTAAAATAAAACTCTTTTGATTGTGCTCAACATCTTTTATGACGTTCCATTATTTTATAAGGATGTAGTTCTTGTTATTCTACAGTTGCTACTCTGCACCCAATAAGGAAAAAAGGATTCCGAATTGAATTAAAAAAAACAACATTTTACAGCTTCTTGAGAAAATTAATATAATTTAGAGCTTTCTACAAAAAATGTGATTTAAACATTAACAAAAAAAAGTACGCATTTAAGTACTACGAAAGAGTGAATCTTTTTTTTTCTAGAAATAATTTGTAACAAAAATTGAACCACTATTAAACTGAATACTTTAAAAATATTCTTCTTTACTTTAACGTTGGTTAAAGGGTTTTTTTTACTGAACACTTACGAGTCGTTTTCTTATTTGTAAAGGGCAAATCAAATGTTTTTCTTTTTTTTTTAGAGAGATGGTTCCAATTTGTTTAAAATTTAAACGTTTTCTTTGACAAACAGTTGTACAGTATGTACATAAATGTTTGCATTAACAACTACACTTCGGAGTTGAATTAGTTGTAAAGCTTGAGTTACTTTTTAAATTGTGTTTAAGGAATGATTTTACTTGTATCAAATGACATTTTTTAAATAGGCACATCAAAAGGAACATTAATAATTTTAGTGAATTAAATAACACTGAAGCAAAATCTTTTTTTATGTTATCGTCAACTATGTTGAATCACCAGAAAAGTGTTGGAGTCATGAAAGGTATGTTTGAGTATTTCATCCAAATCCAAATCTGTTATATTGATATTTTCCGTCATGTCTACCTGTAAAAATAAAAAAAAGTTAGAAGCTAAGTACAACTTGAAACTCATAATATCTCTAAACAGTAATTCCTTGAAAATTTGCTTACCTCTCTGTTACTTGTCAGCATCAATACTTCTTCATTGTTTGTTGATGCTGTAATAAACTCACAAATGTCAGGGATGTTATTAGCAAAATGAGAAATACTTTTAGAATCTTCATAAGCGTCGGAAACATCATTTAACGATTGACAAATACTTGATAAATCACAGGATGTTTCGGAATTATTTGATTCATCGTTAGTCAATATAGAGTTATTTGAAGTAAAATTGTGAAATTGCGATAATTTGTACCATATATTGAAAAGTGCTTCATATTTGGTTTCTCCTTTCCAAATTGGATCGTCATTTGCTCTAAATAATTGTATTTGATGTTGAGATAAGAACTTCTCAAAATCAGACAGTAAACAATTTTGTGTCAATTCGGCTTTTCTGTTTGATATTTCAAGATCATAAATTAATCGGGGTTTTGATAGATTTTGTTTTTTTTTCTTGTTTTTCAGAAAATCCACAGCATTGATATCAAAAGGATTTAATCCACATTTTCTGAATCCCTCTTGTAATATATCAGAAATGCATATCGAATTTAGAATTCTTTTCACTAGAGAAGCAACTTGATATTGGTGCATTCCAATGAAAAATTCTTCACACATTTCTATCCATTGGGATTTAAATGTTTCAAAGAAAGCTACATCCAAGGGTTGTATTATATGCAAAGCATTATTGTAAAGGGGTACAAGTACTATTCCATTTGCAGAGCAGAAATCAGTCAAATAAAAGTTTAAAAATGGTGAATGGCCGTCGATGTATATAATTACTGGAAGTTGAGTGTTATTTTTTTTTAGCCATGGTTCGAAAATTTTTGTTATAAATTCATAAAAATTTGGAGCTAGTACAGTGCCATTTTCCGAAAATCCAATCACATAGTCTTTTGAGTCAGCTGCAGCTACTTTAATTGGCAGAGCTTCTCCAGCCAACAAAATTAATGTTGGAGCAAGTTTGCCTGTAGCGTTACAAGTAAACAGAACGCTGACACTTTCCTTGTCATCACTACTATTTGGTTTTTTGTTTCTTGTTTGATCTTTCACTGAATGTGGATGCAGCGGAAGCTCTACAAATTAAATGTATAGAGTTATTTATTTTATTACGCAAGATAGCCATCAAATTATTTGTAATTTAATATTTAACAGAATAATATTTAACAGAAAAATTAAAATACTAAGCACAATCTTAGAGTAAGAATATTATAATAACTATGAAATAAATAACTGTAAAGCAAACTAAACAGTATTTTTATATTTATGGGGTCATTTGCTATGAAATAATTAATTTATTAAAATGTTACCCGTTACACATTAAAAAAATAATAAAAATGGAACAACTGTATGCAGAATTCAGCATATGATAAACTATTTTTTTATTTACCTATACTGTAAAGTTGAGCACAGTTTTTCATATGAACTGTTAAAAAAATGTTGGAAAATTTAGAGTCTCATATTTTACTGATTGAGAGTTGTTTCAGATCAATTGAGCATATATTTCAATGTGAAATATGTGAAAGTTTTCTGTCTTGTTCGTATAGTAAAATAAAAAAAATGCGCTCAAATGTAAACGACGAACGTTGTCATGTTGAAAAGATGTTGATTTTGGTTTCTACAGACGTTCAGTTGAAACGAACTTCGATAACTAAGAGTCATATTTTGTTTGTTGAAAATAAATTTTTGCTTGATTCGATAATTTTCTGAAAATTTTTCTTGCTCTGCTCGAAGCTGATTTTGTCAGTTACATTTTGGTGCCAAAATTCGATCAAGAGAAAACATAGGGAAGAAAAGCAAATGGCTCTACACAACTCTCCAACGAAACAACAGCAAAAAGCCTGGCCACATCAACAGCAGCAACGGTAGTGTCTGCAACGAGACTAGCTAGTGTGCTGTGGCCAGAACAGATGACTCAGACATTGCCGATGACCCTAACTTCGTGGACAGCGCTGATGACAATCGCGCAGTTGATGCAGACGACAAGCTGCCATCACCGCAGCCCCTGGGCCCAGCTCCAATACGACCTCGTGCGCCAAGTGGTGTTTCCATTTCTCGGAGCCTCGTTGACTCGAATGACGAGCCGCAACTGCCAGTTACTTCTGGTCCTAATCCGTACACGATCTTGAGCGTCCCGCTGCGTTGCTGTCTCATCGTCTTCCTAGTTCTGCTAAGCGGCAGAGCATTGTCATGTCGAAAAAATATTGTTGATTTTGGTTTCTTAAGACGTTTAGTTTATGACGAACTATGATGGCTAAGAGTCACATTTTGTTTGTTAACAATAAACTTTTGCTTAATTCGATGATTTTCTGAAAGTGCTTCTTTCTCTGCGTGAAGCTTATTTTGTCAGCTACAAGAGTAGTAAATTTTATGAATGAAAGGGCTAATTAATTCAAGAATTTGGAGTTATTTGTAAGAAGTAATGATTGGATTCGTTAAAGACAATATGTCAGATTCAAAAAAGTGAATGAAATTTTCAAAAACCAATGGATTTGTGCAAAACATTTTTTCAGGGAGTTTTTGTGGTCAATGATTTGTGGATCTTATGTTAGATCTAAAAAATTTAGTATGGTATAGATGTGGGTGAAAGCCACTTTAAATAAACCATTTTACATCAAATTTTGTATACAGCAATTTTTAGTTTTACAAGTTACAAATATAACCTCTAGTTATTGACTAGCATTTTCCAAAATCCCTTAGATGATTGTCTTTATCGATCTTAATACATTTCAATGAATTGACGACTTTTGACGTTCATCTTGTATGTGCTGTCTTATAAATTTGAAAATTTAATAGAGTATGTATAATAAAAGACTACCAAAAATTTGTTTTATTTAAGTACGTAATGTTTTAATAACTTTTTATTACAATTCAATTGATTACTGGCTCACCCATCGCGCATTATTACAGTGTCAGAAGAAAACGAAAAAAGATATACCTTTTAGATACGGGTTTTAGTATTAAGTCACTTAAATCTTGAGTATGCGTTAAACTACCACTAAAAAGTAATAAAAATAATTGACAAATACATGTACAAAAACACTCGAATTTGCAATGCATGTTGATAACGATAGGAAGTCGCGTTTCTGAATTACAGTTGGTTGTGCATACTTCGAAAAATTCGATGAATATATATATACGCTACATTTGTGTTACCAGTCGGTGTCTATACACGTATAACGCATTCTGTTGAAATTTACATTGAGAATCACAATGTAGGGATGAACTAAGAAACTAAATGCTTGTCAAAATGTACTTATGTTTTGCATATATATATATATATCTACCTGTAAAAATAAAAAAAAG